ACCTCTGGTCTGATCTAAGTCAGGGCATGGCTAACTCACAGATCAAACCCTGAAACAACCTCTGGGCTGATGTAAATTAGGGCATGGCTAATTAACTCACARATCAAATTGGAATTTAGCGTGTTGGTTTTAAATGTGGAGAGAGACAAATAGAGAACCTTGGAAAAAACCTTGAATYAAGGGAGATACCAAACTCTACTCAAATGTGAAGGTTTGTGCAGGAATCAAAACTGAAACCCAAGAAAGAGGGGAGTACTCGTGTACACTACTACATTATATTAATTATTTATTATTTTATCTATAATAGTTTGAAAAGTCTTATCCAGATATATACTATGCCAAGTTCCCAAGGGATAACATGTCAACTGGTTCAAGGCGGAGATCAGACCGACTTCGGAATATCATGAAACCTTTGGGAGTGCTGAGAAACCTTCGATAGGAAAAGAAACTAAGAGTTTTAAATTATCTATAATTATATATTCTATCATGTAATGAACTTTAATAATATAATCATAAACTTCTTTTTAAAGAAATTCACATTTTCTACAAGGAAATTCATCTTTTAAAATCTTATTAATTTTATTCAGACACTAACTTTTCACTGGGCACTCCAATACCGGTACATKCACCTTTTACTTTGGGCGTAATATTTTACCATTTCAGACCATGCTTCATTATCTTGAGAATAAGATTCTTTGTTTAAGTTGTATCCATATTCACATGTCTTCTCATATATGGACATTAAAAAGCAGTTATGAGAAAACATTCCCTGCTAGCAGAGTCTATTTTCCTTTTGTTTAGGAGAGAAAGGGAAGAGACTCTGCTAGCAGGGAAGAGAAAACATTATGCCCAAGCAAAAGACGTCTATCAAGACCACTTTAGATACAAAGTTTGACCAATCATAATGTAGAATGAAAATGATGAATTCATTTGAGCCATTCAGGAGAAGGCAAAAAAAGCCAAAATCTCTACACTGAAAACTCTAGATTTTTTTGAGGGACTGAATTAACTACATTTTACATTGTGATTAGTTAATACTAACGTTTTCATTGCTACAAGCTAATTGAGATAAAAGTCAGGACAGGTTATTAATGGGCAATAGACTACTGTCAATCAAATAAACTGTTCCCATGTAGCTTTAATGTTATCTAACGATTTATTTGATTGATGGCTATCTATTGGCTATTTTCACAATTTTGTCTAATCAGTCACTGTGTAATAATGAAAACAGTCAGTGGGAACTTGGTGGTTGGTCCTGGTATTAGCATGTCCATACAATACTTTTATTCACATACATATATAATATYGATAGTCATTAGAGGATTTGCATAGTCACATGAGGGCAGCCACATTGGTCTAACCCTATCTTATTCTTCTTTCCAAATTATATAAAATACCAAAAAAAAAGTACCTTAATATATAAGGCTATTATRCAGACTTAGAAAGTATATATTATGCTCTTATTAACTGAGTGCAAGGTCCCTGCCGTAAGTTTTGGACCAAGTTTTTTCCACTGCTTTATGGCCCAAGTGCATTCCATAATTTATGTATAGACAGAGCAAGCAAGGTTAATAAGATGTTTATTATATGGCAAGGCAAACAYAAAAATTGGGTTGGTGGTTGTACCGTGAGTTATAGTGTGAAATTACTTTGCCATATAATAAACTAACTTATTGCTATTGCTATGATCATTCTACTTGCCTCATTAGTGCTCCAAAAATAACTGCACCTCCCTGGCAGTATACAGCTATTTCAAATAGGTTGGTGATGGTTTTGTTGCATGCTGCAATCTTGCATATTGCATAATTTACTGAGCTTGAAATGTATTAGGCTTGTTATGCAACATTCAACAAAACCTTCACCAACCATTTTTGAAATAGCTGTATAGTGCTTGTGCAGCTTACCAATGCATCAGGACAGCTGTGGCCAGACTGCCCTAGATGTTACCAAAGAAGATACCATATATAGACCTACTCATAGTCTCGCATTAATTTAATATACATGAACATATATTATGCAATAGTAGTGTATTTTATTTTTATTGATATATCCTGAAAAGCCAATAGACTTTTCCAGAATTTGCTTGACTTATCATGAAACAATGGTTTCAGGTTGAGGTTGAACTTGATAAATAAAAGAATCAAGCTCACTCTCAACTTCAAAACATTGTTTCGTGGGTATCCAAGCGAATTCGGGAAAGGCCTATTATGTATAATACTGATATTCAATAAAAAATATAAGTCCTAAACAGCCACATTTGATCATGGAATTTGCACATGATTTTTCAATTTTTATTTCTTTAAATATTGGAGTGCAAATGCTGCGTTTCTTGGATATTGTGTTTGCATTTCGTATTTTTATTTATTTATTATTAATATTTATTATTTCATTTATYTTACCTTGTGATTGGGCTTCCTGTTGTCTAACCGTGGTGGTGGACTGGCCACGAATAAAGCTCGCTAGGTCTTGTGGGGTTTTCACTGGCCGCCATCTTGTACTCGTACGGACATTTCTCGTAGATATGCTCTCTTTTTCTCGGCAAATTTTGCGGTTTTCTCGAAGACCGTTAGGTGCTGGCTTGAGGAGATGCCTTGCTACCGAAGCTGCCGAATCTGGACCTGCAATGTCCCTTACTTTTGGCTCTCCGTATGAGGTAAGTGTGTCTGCCATGTGACTCAAAAGACCGGCTTCAAATCAATAAAATTAGATAGTCAACTCTATTAATGTTGGGAATTGTATATTTTCTTTTCTTTTTTGCTAAATTGAAAATAATTATGAGTAATTTACTCATTGAATATATCTTTTTTTGAATATTTTACAAATAATTTGTACATATTTTGCCTTTATTTATCGTAGTCTTTCTACGAGAATGTCTCGGTCAAACAGGTAGATGTATCAACTTCTACTGGAAGCTTCGGTATTCTTGCCGATCACGTACCTACCATACAGACCTTGAGTCCTGGTGTTCTGACAGTGTATCAAGGTGGATCATCTGACAAGTATTTCGGTATGTTTTATATAGATAATAGATGGGCAAGGGTCCGAAAGGGTCGGGGAAATAATCCCATTTTCCAGCCCCCATTTTGACCAAATCCCATCCCAGCCTATGCTTTGCTCAAATCTAAATCCCATTCCCATTTTTTGATTGTTTCTTTTGTTTGTGAATCCCATTCCCAGTGCATAAAATTCCATTTCCCAGCCCCAAAAAGGTGAATCGCAGCTCCCATTTTACCMCTTCAGGACCACCATGAGTGTCTTTTGGTATTGTTTGTATGTCTGTTTGTCTGTCTGTATCACTAGGGCACACAAGGGCAGTGTCAGTACTTGAATAAGACAGTGGTATAGTGACCTTTGTTTGTGTGCAAGAGTAAAGATGGAAGTGTAGTACAGCTTGATTGAACTTCCATGAATTTAGCTGCACGTAACTTCCAAACAGTTTCGATGTCATATTCAATCATCATCTCTGTCTTCAATATCATCATCATCATGTTGTCATCATCATCATCATTATCATCGTGGCCATCAAACATAGTATCATCACTTATATCATCACCGTCATAACCAACATATATTATAGTTTCATACTGCCATGTCACTTTTTAAGTTCCAAATATTTGTATTGTTTATTTTCACGATAATTTGACCATATTTTATTGACTGACTAAAAACACTTTGTTTCTTATAGTAAGCAGTGGCATAGTGACTGTTAATAAAGATTCTTCAGTACAAATCCTAGCTGAGGAAGCACATCCCTTAGATCGATTTGATGAACAGGTAGGATGGCAATACATTGCTACTAGTACTAGTTCCCTCATTCCCAATCACCTCAGGGGGAAACAAGATATAGAAAATGACTTCTCCAGAGGTGTGGTAATGAGAGAGGACTCTTTCTATGCAAAGAAAGAGGTTATTGTTGCCTGGAGGGGATAGATTGCCCATTGCTATTGTTTTTTTTTCTTGAAATAACAAGAATATGTGATCTAGGAAGTTCTATTTATGCCAGAAACTTTGATACAAGTACATTATCAGGTCACTGTTGAAAGATTGAGACAAAGGGAGTTATTAATAAAGTGCTTGTATTCATTTCCCCTTGGRAGAATGGAAATCTTAGAATATTCAATTAAGTACAATATTGGCTTGCATTGTCTAGTTGCCACCATTGTACTACCATTTACGTTAAATGAGCATAGTTTTATATGTTAATGGCCTTACATTTTGTTATGATAATCAAAGTGTGATTTTTACGACAGCCATGTTGTAGGGCAAAATGAAATACATTTTTTCCTTTCGCAAATAAAATCTCTTGTCATGCATTGCATTCTTCCTGCACTGAAACATGGCTGCCGTGAAACCACTTAATTATAAACCTAGGCTTACCATGCAGGCCTGCAATGATTTGTATCAAAGTATTATTTTCACTTTTTGCCCTCTCAAATGTAAAATATAATAATAATATATTTGTCTTGTGCAGGCTGTGAATAAACAACTAGAGAAAGCACAACAAGAATTATCCAGTGCAACATCAGAAGAGGATAAAGCCAGTGCCAATGTTGCCATAGAGTGTGCAGAGGCCCTACTAAAGGCTTTACACAAATAGATGAATTTTGAAGATTAGTGTGTTTTGTTTAATGATGGTGATTTATGGGTATAGAGGAGCAAAGTGCGTTAGTCAATACCTTGTTTGGTGACTTTGAGGAGATTATCATATAATACAGTCATTTGTTTATCTGAATAAACTTGTACTGATTTGCCTGTTTTCATTAAATGATGGTCATTTTTTTGAATTGCTCGGAGGCTCACAGTTGCTCACAGTTTCTGATCCCTGTTGTTGTCACTACAAATTTKGGGGCAGCCTCCCATGACACTAGGGCTAATATCTAATATTTGGTAGGGAGAGAATACTTTTGGTTTCTTAATTTTGAAGAATCCGCAAATTAATACATGCACTGATTATCTGTCATTGTTAAGGACTTCAAGGAGCAGGGCTGATGGGGGGGGGAGTTAAACAGAAGAATGCACCATCAGCTTCCTGGCATGGAAGACCAGCTACTTGCTGAACAAAACCACCAAACCCTCACTCCTCTGATCTGCCCTTATGTACTGTACCAGCATTTTTAATCTCAAGGTTTTTCCTAACCTACTAGTGATCTCATGTTGCCTGCATTATCTTAATAGAATCCCACCCTTGTTTACTTCAACACCCCCTTCCTTTCCAGTCCTGTGCGATCTCTATTCGGGCCTGAACGTATAAAAACACAGGAAGCCCAAACTGACTTAGTCGTTCCGTTCCCATGAATCTTGTCGGTCAAGCTGTGTTACTACGCCGGTTACGTAAGACTAGCAGCTTGGACWTTTGCAAGACTCGAAGGCTGAAATMTCYAGAAATACCACAAGATGGCAGACTTATATTCAAACAAGAACTTCCCTCCGTTAAAAAATGATGCAGTTTTACGTGCTGCACGTGGAGAACCAGTAGAACGTGTACCGGTATGGGTAATGCGACAAGCGGGCCGGTACTTGCCAGGTAGGACAGTCATATCACGGCCTTATTTCATTGCGTACTTTCTAAGCATCCTCTAGCTGTACTTTAGCATTCACATGATAGGAAAATTAGCCTTGAGTTGAGCACCAACTGCCCTGTATTGATGAATAAACGTTTTTTTTAATAAGTTCACTGAGGTATATTAGCTTACGTTCCACACCCTAGCTACACCMATAATATAGTCTTAGTGTTCCAATACTTATCATCATTATTCAATGATATATCCCTTTTTGAGAAAGAAAACGTGGTTACGTGGTGTATTGAACAGATTGAAGGAACATTCATTTTGGCATTCCAACTTGGGCAATATTCTCTCTCACCCCACCCCTCCCCTGCAGCCCCTGGTGAGGGGAGAAGACCATTCTTGGATTTTCAGTTTCCAAGACCTTCATCATTGTTAACATGGCTAATTTCTAAAAACGAAATTGTAACATGATTTATAAATATTTCTGGTATTATGATTATGGACAATTACTGCTAGCTTCAACAGTCACAACATGGGAATCGGGCAATAGAGTACCGTCAATCTTATTATATCATTAGTGAAGTTTTCATGTAACCTTTATGTACTCTGTTATAAGAATTTATGACATTGGTGGCCGTGTATTGCCTGATATTTMTGTTGCGACTGTTGTCTTTATTACCAATGTAAACAGTACTTAAGGTGTTTTCAACCACAACTCCCATGCGCAGTCATCTATCAATCAAAGTGTTATGAAGGATCTTAGTGACCAAAACTTACCTCTAAATGTTCATAGTATGCTCATTATTATTGTTCTTAATAATTATTTTTGCAGAGTTTCGTGAAGTCAAGGAAAAGAACAATGCTGATTTCTTCAAAATGGTCCAGACACCAGAAATTTGCTGTGAACTGACATTGCAGGTAATACCAATTATAGTGGCTCTTAGGTTYATATGCGAAGCCTCATGCATAAAGAACCACCAAAAGTGCATGCAGAACTAGGACCTAGAAATATAGTTGACTAGCAGCTTCTCTAATCACCTGCACACATAAYGTTAGGAATCACTCCAGATTTACCTTGATAAGAGGGAATGCTCTTATGGCTTTAAGATAATTCTTCACAAAATAATGTACCATGGATTTCATATACACTCAAAGAATCTAATTATTTTGCAACCTGTACCTTTTTTGTAGTAATTAACCTTTTTCAAGTTCCCATTAACCACTGTGTTTCTTGATAACAGACTCATTTACTCAGGGTTAACCTCCTATAATGTTCTAAATATCCACAAATACCAATGGTAAAGTTAAGAATGCACAACTTCAACGATACAAACCCTTTTAAATTCTATGGAACTTCACTGGAACACATGAATATTCTGCACAAAGTTGAGGCTAACCCTGAGCAATAGAGAACTTGAAACTTGATTATTTTGTGATTATTCATTTATTAATATTTTTTCATGATTTCTTTTAGCCTATCAAAAAGTTTGATTTTGATGCTGCTATCATCTTCTCAGATATCCTTGTCATTCCCCAGGTAAGTAATTATTCATTATAAGCACACATTTCTAACATTTTTATCAATGATAATGCTTTTCTGATTGCAGGTAGTTGGTATGACTGTGGAAATGCTTCCAGGAAAGGTAAGCCCTTAATGTGCTAAAATTTAGAAATGTTAGCAGGGGCATTAAGGGTTGGGGATCAGAGAATRATCTGGTATATAAGCAAAATTCTCCACAATAAACTAGCATTTATAGCTTATGATTTCTAAGATATTCACTTTTAGACTTTGTGGCTAGTTAATGACCTTCTCCTTATCTTAAAATCTAATGAAACCCCTGTGTTAGCTAATGCACCTAATTACTGTTTTCCAATTCTAGACCAGATTACTCCCATAATTTTCCTTGCATTCTTTCAATTTCATTTTTCTATTTTTTCAGGGCCCTCATTTCCCAGAACCACTTGTTGAGCCAAATGATTTAAAGGTGATATTTTGATTGTAAATGTTCATATTCCATTTATTTAGTTTTCTTCCATCTCATTTTGGCTATAAATTKTTCTACTCTGCAGAAGTTGAAAGAGAATATCAACATTGAACAAGACCTTTCCTATGTCTTCAAGGCAATAACTCTTACAAGACACAAACTAGAAGGAAAAGTACCTTTGTTTGGGTTTACTGGTGCCCCTGTAAGTAATACAGACATTTATTTAATCACTACAAGCAATATAGTTGGGCTTCCTGTGGAGTAGAGCTGATGTAGTTGGGCTGCCTGTGGAAAACAGAAAGTAGTTGGGCTGCCTGTGGTTTTTTATCCACAGGGAGCCCACAAGTTAGTATTAGGAATAGTTTTGCTAACCCAAAAAAACCAGCTTAACCCCCACCCGCGAACCCCCTAGATCACAGGAACACAGGAACACAGCTCAGATTAAAACAGAGCTGGTTTTGTGGAAGACAAAATTTGTACCTCTGTCATTAAGTATGCCTGGTAGCAAAAAGAATATGTTAATCTTCTTTTGCAATATTTTCAAATTTCTCCTTGCTTCTACAGTGGACTCTGATGTCTTACATGATTGAAGGTGGTGGAAGTACAAACTTCACCAAGGCAAGAAGATGGTTGTATGAACACATGGAAGCAAGTAGTACTCTGTTGCAAAAGTTAACTGATGCTATTGTGGAGTATCTGGTATTACAAGTCAAGGCTGGGGCTCAGGTACGACTAACTATAGTTACCATCTATATGGTCAGGGGTGTAGAAAGGTCTTGGTCATAGGGGAGCAACATACCATTTTACCGCCATTACACCATGTTTGATCTTTAGAGTTTTCCGTCATATTCACAGGTTTAGTAAAACCACTACACATTTATATTCAAGTTGCATTTTCAACTTTACAATCATAATGATACTGTATCTTGATTTTGTTCTAGATTTTACAGGTTTTTGAATCTCATGCAGGAATACTTGGCTATGACACATTCATGTTGTACTCCTTTCCATATTTAAAACAAATAGCTGAGAGAGTCAAAGAAAAACTTGGTCCAGATGCTGTTCCYATGGTAATGTTTTTGTTGTTGTTCCTTTTCTCTTTGTAATGATTAAAATACACACAAAAACCCATTGGAAAAAAGTGTTGAAACAAAGCACTAGAGTGCAAACAATTAATCCGTGAAACACTAATAAATTACTAAATAGTACAAAATAGAGTACAAACACTAAAAGTGTGCAACACTTTGCACTATTTAGTAGTAAATAGTGCTAATTAAACAATAGAAAACAATAGGATTAGCATAATTTAGCAGTATTTAGTGGTATTTATGTTACACACTTATAGTGTTTGTACTATAATGGAATTTGCATGAAGTTGTGCTGTTTAGATTACTAAAGTTTCAAAGTTATTTTGTTTGCACTCTATAACATATAATAGATAGAAAACTAAGAGTTTGTACAATTTARTACTTTTTAGTTTTAGTACTTTTTCACAAGACAAGACAAGAAACTTTTCTTGATAATACTAAACATTCATAATCCTTATTTTTGTATTTTGTCAGACTGTATTTGCTAGAGGTGGCCACTATGCAGTAAAGGAATTATCTAATTGTGGTTATGATGTGATTAGCCTTGATTGGACAATGTCACCAGAAGATGCAAGGTTTGTAGATTCCTAAATACCACTTTATGGCTTAAAATAACAGCCAGTCATATGTATTCATAATGACTACAAGCCAAATTACTTTTAGCTCGATCATATCTTGTTTCTGGCTTCAAATTACCGGTCTAAATGACCAACAAGGAAAAGATTTAACCAGACAAGTATGGCGTACAATTGGGGTCAAAATTCAAACTCCTAATTTTTATGTGACATATGTTATTTGACTTTCAAGTATTTGTTCGCTGTTGACGTTATAACTGGAATACTGTAAAGTCGAATGTTTGAATGTCAAAATGTTGGATGTTAAATTTGAAAAATACAACAGCGAACAAATACTTGAAAGTCAAATAACATGTCACATAAAAATTAGTTTGAATTTTGACCCCTATTGTACGCCATAGACAAGTTCATGTTCTCACTGATCATTGTCCAATGTTTTGAGCCTTGCTCTCTAGCTAGCTACCRTAAGACAATCTAAGTTGTAGATTGAAACGTTTATTTGTGCCTTTTCCCAGTTAAAATATTTATTGCTTCCCAGACTTATAGAGTTTGTTCAATATTCTTCTAGGATTCTTGCTCCAACAACCACTCTTCAAGGCAACATGGATCCAGCAGCTTTGTATGCAAGCCATGTAAGTGAATCAACAGATCGCAATTAGGGTGTCGCAGTTACTTAACCATGATAATGAACCACTTACAATACAATGTTGATATGGCTAATTTTAAAATGTTGCTGCTGACAAAGTCAACTAGTGAACTTTGGATTAATTCCTTGGATT